TTTTTTTTTTTGTTTTCTCTGATGCATTTTTATCTAATCTTTCCTAGAAATTAAATCATCCAGAAGCTTCATCTTTAAGGATGTAAAATCTTCCAATATTATAGACAACTTGATAATTGACGTAACAGGGATTTGACATGGATAAACTCATTGTGGAATGAGTTAATAAAAAATATTTTCCCACATCTTCTCATTTTGTTTTTTAATAAGATACTACCTGTTTTGTCTTTTTTACACATGTATTGTGATTCCAGAATAAAGCCAGTGGTGTCTTGGCACAATTATTGCAGGTGCAGCATTGTATAGGAGGTAAATGCTGACTCAGGAATTTAGTCTTAATTATGTAACTGACCTTTGAGCAGACAAAGTAATAAATGGGCACCAGTACTCATCTTCTCCTACCTTGTGGCTTTCCAAGGGAAATTGGTGGGCTCGGGTCGGAGGGGTCGCTAACACCATACTTGTTGATGGAGCGAACTCTGAAGCAATACTGTTTGTCTTTGACCAGATCAAACACTGGGTACCTGGGAGAGTTCACCACCGTGTCCAGACTGGCCAGTTCCCAGCTGTTTTTCCCTGCCAAGGACTGATTCAAGCAAATAAATTTAATGTAAATATATATAAAAAAAGGAAAAGTGTAAATTAAAAAAAAATAGCTTAGGTATTTCAGCCAATCAGACCCTTAAATGAAAACACATGGAAATGAAGACGTATGTCTTTGTGTGTCTAGTTCTATTTACCCGTCACTGAAAGAGTCTCTCAAGAAACTAAAACTATACCAAACAGGTCCCTTTTTATATTCCTTATTTGCATTTCTATGTTCCTACTCTGTGGGTTTCACATTTCCTCTCCTAAGTCATTGTTTTGTCGGTAGAAATCCCAACAAAAGAGCAGGTATGGTAAAAGAGAAGAGTGATTATAAAGTGCTTGCTTGAGGGCAAAAAGGATATTTGAATGTTCACTTCATTATATAAGCAGAAGTGAGGCTGCAGACTTTAGTAATTTCAGGTGCCTTTGAGAGATTTGACAGTTTTATTACCTCAGTAACTTATAAAGCCTCAATAAAAATCTATTTCCTGTGGCAGTTTTCTGATTATTGAAGTCAGGAGCTGTTCAGTCCCGGAGTTGATATCGAGGAGCCAAGGCTCTCTATTGTTGCAAAGAGCAGGTCAGCCTCACATTTTTGATCTGCTTCTGTCATCACTTTGAACCTTAAATTTATAGTTGAGAAAATATTGTAAAAAGAGGGAGCTGGCTCCATCCATTGATTTTTCATACCTGCTTATTCTTGCTTATTCTGCTTATTCTTTTCCGGGTCTTATTCTTTTCTCTGGGAGAAACACAATTACGCACCCATCTGAGGCAAACCTAACATACATTTCCTGATGTCCTCTGTGGCTTTTTGTGCCTCTTCTGTAGAGCTTTAAATTATTTTTTGGTGCTCTATCCTTAGTTGTATGAATTTAAATATCCCACATAAATTTTACTAAACTAAATGTTTGTGCAAATTGCATACAGGGCATCTCCGATGTTCTCACACTCTACAATAAAATATCTGCAACAAATACCATGTTGAGCAGAATGTCCAATGACAGCGTTCATAAAGAAAGATACACTTTAAATTAATCTGGAAAGTGGACCTGTTGATGAATATGAAACATCTTTTTACATACAATTTATGAGAGATATGTCTGAAAATATTTCTATAGCTGAAAGGTTTAGATTTAAATTGTTGTTCAACCAAGAAATTTGTTTCTGACAGGAAGTGATACAGCCATCTGTCCAACGATGGGAGTATCTGTTTTGAACAATGTAACTTTGCTGTTTTATATGTATTTTCATTTAAAAAAAAGGAATATCAAAAATTATTCATACCCTTCTCTAAAATCAGTGGAAAAATCTTATGTTCGCGTGACAGAAATCAAACCCTGCTTGATGTTTTCCAGTTGATGTAGTGTTTGACCCTGACGTTCAATGGTACTGGAATTCACAAATTCTTAACAACCACAAAAATATGTGGCCCTGCGGCAATTAGGTTCTGGGTTCAAATTCTGACCCAGGAGTCTTTGAGTTGGCATGTTCTCCCCATATAAACGTAGTCTAAAAGTATGGATGTTAAGGTATTTGGTTGCTCTAATTTGCTATAAAGTCACAGGAAGTGTCTGTGTCTTTCGATGATGAAAAAATGAAGGACTGATGATGCATCCGGTGTGAACCCTGCATTAAATACCTCAGCTACTGGGGAGAAACACAGAGAAAACGGCTCCTGACGTGGCTCATACAAGCTCTGTAAATTGTGGAAACAGCAAAACATCATCTTTCTATCTCCCTGCTGTGTCATTCAAACACATTACAAGAGAAAACTTTGAAAGCACCTCTGCTTTGAAATGCATAACAATCCAAAACGGAAGAAATTTAAATGTTCAACTCTTGAGACCCTTTTCTTCTTGAAACTTTCGTTGTCGACCAAAAGCTTTACACTCGGAAAAAATAAACAGGGTGAACAAACGTGTTGTGCAGAAGACTTTTAAAAGTCTAACTCCTGATTGCTTAAAAACTGGGAAACATTCATATGACCTGGAGCTAATGATTACAATATGAAATGAAATTACTCTGCAGCTAATCTGCTTTCAGAGCTGATAAAATATGAATCCCTGTTTTTTTTTTGTTTTTTTTTTTGTGTGCGTAAGTGTGTGTCTGGGGAGGTGTGCGTTGGCGTAAGGACCGACCCGCTCCACGTAGAAGGTCAGCGGCTCCCTGCCTCGGGGTTCAGGCTCGGTCCAGCTCAGCACCACGTAGGTGTCGCTCAGCTCGCAGGCGCGGACGTCTGTGGGAGGAAAAGGAGCTTTGACCTGACCTGCGGAGCAAAGTGAGGAGGAGGAGGATGAAAACAAGAGAAAAACAAGGTCAGTATGAAAAGAGTTGGCTGAGTTACAGCTTTTCTCCTCTCATTGTAAAACTCTTCAAGTTGCGTCTGCTGGAGCTGATACGGCCTCACAATGGGAGAGACACTCAAACCTTCTCTGCTTCAGTTTAACCTCTATTCCTTATATGTCAAGTGTACCAAATAGCATTGGATAGGTTGAGTCAGCAAATGCTCAAGGACTCTACAAGGCGGTGAAGGACCGTGAAAGTCTGGGCAATGATGTTGTTCCATCTGAAACTATGCAAGTTTCCATGTTTGTTTTCCCTGAAGAGTTTGCAGAGCTGGAGAAAGTACAGAGAAAGCTCTCCTCTGCACAAGGAGAGCAAAGATTTGAAGAAAGCTGATCAGGTAAAAAGGAAAGCAACTTCTTCTGAGTACAGTGTGTAATGAGAATGACTCAGGACGTTTTGTTTCATACATACAATTACTGTAGAGATGCAAGAGGTTTTTCTGACACAAAACGTACAATAAAAAAGAAATAAGATTGTCTACTAGACAGTGTGATGCATTCCAATTTGAAAGAGCATCTCACATACCATTCTTATATCTTCTTATATTTTGAAAAGAAATCAGAACAAGCAGTCAAACCTTGCAAAAATAAGATGTTAAAAATCAGCCATGGCAATCGTTATAGCAAGTGCTGCATTTCTACTATTTAGCGAAAATAATAGAAAAATAACAAACCAGTCAGCAAAATATGCCCCAAAATAGACAAATAAACACAACCAAAAGGAAAATTTGAGCTCTTTAAGCTGATCTCGACGAAGCTTAATCTCCCAATTATGTTCTAGTCATTACATTAAAAGCCTCACCACCTGGGTAAATGCATTCCACTGTAAGCCTCCATCATAGAGCAGAATCCAAAAGTATGATTGTATCCTCCAGGCTGCAGTTATTTTCTGGTGGCTTCATCTTCTTCCATCCTTTCACCATTCTCTCTATGTGTGGTACACAGTCAAGGTTATCGGGCCCCCTTTCATAGACATTCGCTCTACCTCGAGCCATTATGTGCATTTATTGGAAGACCACTGGGGACTTTTTGCTCCTTTCACAGCTGCAAATGGAGAAAATGCTCATTGCTGCGGCTGCACAATTACTGCAGCTCATTGTTAAACATAATATGGAGATGCATTAAAGCCATGAGCCTGCGGCAACCTACAGATGTGGGGGTGGCGGTGTGTGTTCCGGTGAAAAGTAAATCATGTGTTAGATACGCTCCTTTTGAGACAGAATCAGAACTAAAGTAAAAACACGACATCCTCACCTTCCAGTTCGTCTTTTGTAATGGTAATGGTCCTTCCTCTGTCCACTTGGACCACTGAGATAAGAGAAGATGGAGAAGACATGAGAGAAGACATAGGGGGGCGATGGAGTTACGCAGAGGTAATGATGACACCATTTTCTTGCAAATGTTAGAGGTGCAGACAAAAAAGATGAACAACAGCTTGACGGGAAGATGGAAAGAAGACCAGAGGCGAGTGAACCTTCTGTCTGTCCTTCATCCGTGTTTAATGATCCACGGCATCTGACCACAGCCCATCTGTCCTCATCGTTACACACACACACACACATCTCATTCTCCCTCAAATACCCCCCCTTTGAATCCAATATTTAGCAAGACCAAGAAATGCTTTTTAAGTCATCTTTTTGGAAACAAAACATTTTTCTCAACGATGTCATTAAGATGCTGTCACAGAAATAACCCGGCGGCTGCGGATGAGATCTAAATCTGCACACCTACATCTGTTTTTTCTGGCACTGATCATTTCTTTGCAGGTATAACAGGGCAACTGAGGCAAATGAGGTGAATAAACACCAGGAGAGAGTCGTGAATGCTTTGCTGATGATCTTTGCAGCACACTGCAGATGTCGATGAGACACAAAGCAAAAGCCTGAATAAATAGGCGGGGAAAGATAAGACACACAGAAGCTTCCACACAAAAGCAAAAGGACCATATTGTGGGACATTTTATGGTTAATTGGAGCCTCAGGGAGAATCCCTTTCAACTCTAAGCGTATAGTGGTTTTCCAGCAATTAGAATGACTTAATAGTAGAGGCACAAAAGGCTTTAAACTTTTTATTTGGATATGTGAAGCACAAACCTAAATACCAGACTTTGTGTTTGAAATTCTCATTTCTTTGTTTTTTACTTGGTTATTGTAATATTAACAAGAAATGTAAACACAAATGTAACAGAGAACTTAAGTTAGGGTTCAACTTGCCCCTCACAAGTACTAATCAGTTCGTATTTCCCTTTCATAACCATAATCAAACCATTTCATACACATTAACTTAACAAATGTGTGCAGACCCTTGAACTAAAACTGTGTTGAAGATAATTTTATTATAATTCCACCATTCATTCGTGTTGGATAAACACCTAAATTCAGATATGCTGAATCTAAATAACCAGAGATAAATCTGTTGGAGCAAAAATCTTCCTGAAATTTGCTTATTTCTAGCCATATTAGTTGTTTTTTTTTTTTTTGCCATTTGTCAGTTTGTTAAATTTTCTCATTATTAGATATCCCATTGTCAATTGTTAGTGGTATTATAACCAAATGTTAGAACATGGAAACAACAACAAGTTGGCCACAAAGTGGAAGACCTGATGTGCAAAATGATAAAATGTTGCAGAATAGCTCAATTTCAGCTAACTGAAAGCTTAATGGAATGGGTTTTCTTGGCCAAGCAGCTACATTGCACCTTCAGATCAAGTGCAATGGGGAGCAATGCCTTAAAGGATGCTACCATTGGAGGCATGTTCTCTGGAGTGACAAAACATGCTGTTGAGCAATCCAATGAAAATGTCTTGCATTGGGAGCTGCCAGGAGAATGGCACTTGAATCATGACTACCTTGAGTCATGTATAAAATTTGGCAAAGAGGTTTGTGAAGAAAATATGGGTTAATCTGAATTTGACAATCCAATACCCAGATATAATGTTGCATCGTCATGTCTTCCTAATGCCATGCAGCCCATAAGTAATACCCATTGTCCTGGTGTGTTCAAGAGGGTCTGCAGTGAGGACAGGCTCTGTGGCTTTGGAGGGACGTCCCACCCCGGCTTTGTTCACAGCACAAACTCTGAACTGGTATAGAGCCCCCTCCTTCAGGCCAAACACGGGAAAGTGGCATATTTTCTGAATGTCCACATTGCAGCGCACCCACTCTCCCTGACTGAGGTCACACCTAAAAAAAAAAAAAATAATAATAAGAGAGGAAGAGATTAATCACAGTCACAGGGAAATTTAGGCAAGTACAGAAAAAATAAATAATATATTTACACAACAAAAGATGTGAACAATTTATAGAGAAACAAACTATAAAATAATCCAACCCCTACAACAACAAAGCAAATCAGTAAACCCTCCATGCTCTATAATTGGGAGAAATCAACCTGAGATTATATGTCATGGTCATGTAAAAAAAGAAAAAATACTTCATAAAAATTCAGAGGACTTTCACAAAACAAATTCAGAAAAGAGTAAGAAGGAGGTTGCTTAGGAACTGGAATACATCTTTCCTCTCCTTATATTGAAACTCGAAAACATTGAGGATTTTTCTCTTCTACAATGATGGGAGATCATAATCAAGAGTAAACACGGAAATGATGCACACACCAATCTGAAAAGACACATTTTCCAGATACTTAAAACATTTATCACCTGAAAATGAATTTACTCTGAACCCCTAATCTTTCCTGGATTTTATGTGCGTGCTTTTCCAATGTGGTGCTGTTTAGAGAAAAGATTATGCTGAGCGTGTCACTTCTACTATAGGCAACACTGTGCCAAGAAATGCATGCAGCAAAACACCTGCATGTTGCTGCCTCAGATAGAAAAGCAATAAAAGTTGGCTCTGCACTGCAGCCACTAGAAGTCCCTATTTTATAAAATCAATTACCTTCTAGTTCAACAGACATAGCTTACTTGGTAATGCTAACGAAACACATCCAATCTGTCATTTCTATTGCTTCAATCAGCTGAGAAGACAATTCCTTTAGGACCTCTGCAGTAAAATGTTAATGTAAGTGTGAAAGGATCACTCAGACTGTTGTTGATTACCTAATTAACAAATGAAATCAAATGTTAACCATTTGTAAAATGACTGGACTTTTATATAATTTTTCATACTGACTATTCAAAGTACTTTACACTTGAAATTGAACCAGAACCTTCAGATTGAAAGAAGACAACATAATGAGCCAAAGTTGCCCGAATCTATAAGAGAAGCTGCAGCAGTAAAGTCAGTTTAAAAGGATGGCCGTGCCTTGGTAGGTTTGCAGTTTTATTATTATCCTCCATTCGTTTTGAGATGGTGGATTTTTCTTAAGAACTCCTTCTCTCTTACCTGTCTGCTGTATTCGTTTGTCTTTGTCATGCTTTGTTCACAAATGTTATTTAGGTACTAGAAAAATACATTGAAAGCCATTTGCTTTTAGCCAGTATGTTTTGCCTACATGTATCCTTTGCTAACACAGTGAAGTTCAGTTTTAGTTACCCCTAACTGATCATCCTTAACACATTTTCTGGCAGATTTAGACATGGATGAATGTCTTCAATTTGCTGTCTTTTCACTTTTCATTTTACAAATAATTTAATAAGACAATTTTGTATACTTTATTGTCAATTTGAATCATATGCAAGACATACAATGGAATCGAAATTGTTTCTCTATCTTCATGATAACTGTAATCTTCATAGCAACTATAAAGGTTTAATGTTTTAAATACAAATTTAACTCCGAATGGAGAACAAATCAATTCTAAGTAGAAGAAAAGATATTAATTTTTAGTTTTATGTTGTTTGGTTGGTTTTATTCCCAAAACAGAAGTGTCTGATCATTCTTAGAGAGACTCATTGCAGGATGCTGGTGGATTTCAATTCTTTCAGAGGTTCTTGAGGTGATTACACAGCTTAATGAAAGTCCACATGTGCTTAGTGAATTATTAAAGACTTAATAAGGAGAGCACACACTTCTTTATATGAGGTCCCGAAGATGGTGGTGTATGTCAGAGTGAAAATGAAGACAAAACTGCACAGAATTGTCCTTTGAACCAGCAGGACAGTGCAGCTTTGGAGAAAAAAATATTTTCAGGAGCATTTTTGGGAGAGCAACAAGCCTCTTTCATTCTAAAGCTGAATCATTCAAGACAACTCTCATCTGTTTTTAACTTGTTCATCTGCTCAACTTGTGTTCTGCAGTCTTTATTACTACATTAAACCCTGGATTTTATTTCATGAATATAAATTGTACTGAATGATTGAATGCAGCTATTAAGCCAGACAAAAATGGTACAAACAGTCTTGGAGTAAAGCAGAAAGGAATAATTTATTTTCTGCATACTGAACCTCCGAGGACAACTATCAGTGCATTTCTCTAACCAGTAGGCTTTTATGTTGGTCACACAAAAGTCATTCCTGCCTGAAACACACAGACAGCAGCCTGCTGTGAATTTGCCAGTGCATATGACAACCCCTGTGGAGATGTTTTTCTCTGACAGCAGTTCTGAGACAAGTTGGAATGGAAAGTAAAACAGATGCAGAAAATAATGAAACAATCACAGGTAAAATATATATATGTAATAAATAAAAATGCAAAGGCAAAATGTTACATTTTTAGTTAGTGAATAGTTACATAAAAAAATGCAACAGTTATTTGTTTGCAGAGTTATGTTAAAAACATTGTGTTAAAAAAACTAAAAGTTTGGTCAAAATATTACACAAAAGGAAAAAAATATCTGCTTTTGCAACATAACACAAATCAGGCAATTAGGCAAGTAAAGGGCTTCTCATAAAAACATTAAATGTAAAGTGATTTATCAACATAGACGACATTCTTATTTCCAAAGTTAAGTTAAAATATAAGGTTACAGATGATAATAAATTTAGTCATTTCGGAGCCAAAAGAGCTACTTCTACTTTGAGAGTTGTGCTAAAAGAGCCGGCTCTCTAAAAAGAGACAAACGTTTCATTACTACCTGATTCGAAATCAGAGTCAAGCATCACTGAAAAAGTCTGTAAAAAGTCTGTAAATGAAAAATGATCAGGAACATTTGGCAAATAGAAGAAACTTCAGAAGATAATAAAAAAAAGACACACAGTATAATTAGTCTCACATTTGACTACTATTACTGCCAGCAGGGATAAAATTAAGTAGTACTGAGTCAAATGTCTGAACTTACTGGGCAGCAAAAAAAATGAGTGAAGCATTGAACTTTTAAGTGGGTCTCTTTTGCCAAGACTTAACTTGAATTTTAATCTGCGATTTATAAATATTGTAAGTGCAGAACAAATCTGACGTACAGGTTAGGTCAGACTGATTCTCACCTCTCCACATAATAGCCCTCCACAGGTGATCCTCCATCAGCACTGGGCGGCTGCCAGGTCAGAAAGACGTAGTCCTTGTTGACATCGGACACCTCCACTGCCAAAGGAGATGCAGGACCTCCTGGTACTGCAGCCGACCCATCTAAGTGAGAACAGTAATGAGTCAGAAAAAGAATGCTGAAAGTTAGGGAAAAAAAATCCAACACTTAATTATTATGGATCGTTTGCTTATCAGAAAAAGACTTAATCTAAACTTTTTGGGGGGTTAGCATTTGCTCTTACATAAGCTGTAAAAATAACCAAAGAATCTAGATCAAACATGCACAATGTAACTTAAACAACGACAGAGAGAAGCTACAAAAACACATAGAAAATCTGCCTTTTTTTGAAGGGATTAAAGAAATACATTGACGTTTCCAAACCGCTTTCTCATGCTAGAAATATATTTTCAAACAACAAAAAGAAGTCGCCATCACGTGCATCTGTTTTTATCCCTTAGACCTCCAATTATTTGTTTTTTGTGCAATGCTATACACGCTTGGAATGCAAATATGACAACTGAATTAATCAGGAAGTTTACTTGCAGAGTAGTTAGAAGACTTACTAATTAGTTACTCCAACTGTTATAAAGGCTCTGCTCTTTAATGTTTGCAACCGAGGCCTGAGACAAGATGAAAACAGAAGCTTTGCAGAAAGTTATATCTGTATTTGGAGTCATATGTTGTGCACACAAAGTTTATGAATGATGCAAAGCATATCAAACTCCTTCTGAGGGACACACACTTGCATCACAATGAAAAACAAACACGAGCCAAGCATCCTCACAAAGCTGAGCGTTTTTCCAAGTGGTTTATATACATTCTGCAGATGCCGTGTCAGAGGTAAAACTGCAGTCCATGAAGACCATATAGTTCCACAGAATGAAGTTAACAAGCTCTCCGCTGCAGAACAGTTTGATTGATGGTGCAATTTCAGTGTATGAATCACTGCTGTTTGCTGACAGGAAATGAAAGCAAAACCAGAATTTGGTGACGACAACCGGTGTTTGGAGGAGGCGAGGTTGCTCAAACACTATTTATCTCGGATGGGACAGCAAATGATGATTCCACACTCCAAGCTCTAAAGGTGACTCCAAAGTACCCGTCAGTTTGAAAAACATCGAGTTTGACTCTGTAAAAGAAATCTGGGCTCCAAGTTTTTTGAGAGGCCTGAGGTAGTTCCCCTGGCATTGTCGGAGAGACTTAGAAGACCTTGAAAGTAAAACTGGGTAGAAAAATCACAAACCAGAATGTTGTTTGTTTTATAATTTTGGTCTCTGCTGTGTAGAAAACATTGTTTAACATGTTTAAAATGCATGTCACATTTCTGATTCATGTAAGTAAAACTGAAAAAAAGTGTATTCCAATAAAATGTTTGTTTTGTGTTTTTTTTTTTTTTGTGGTTATGTGACAAAATGCAAAAAGATCAAAAAGATCCAAGGTGGTATGATTCCTCTTGCAACTCACTTTTTTTAATCAATGCCTTCATCTTATTTCTCACCTTTAAGGTAGACAAAAGCCAAGTGTTCCTCAGTTCCATCCCTGGTCCTCAGTCTGGCACTATAAACACCTTCATGCTCCTTGTACACAGCCATCATAGTGATGATGGATTTATTGTCAAACGTCTTAATGTCCACATTGCTGGACTGCTGCAGCTGTATGCCTGGAGGATGACAGCATGGTTGAGTGTCAGAAGTGTACCATATTTAAACTGCCAAAAATGTGCCACAAGCGACTCCAGTTGCACAACCATCTCTGAACCAGAGGACGTCCTGCTGGAAAGGAAGCAGGTCTGATGTGAAGGTACACTGCAGGGAGAGGCCACTCCCCTCCTTTACCCAGGTAGGTGGAAAGGAAATGTCAAACCAGGCTTCTTTTTGTTGCTGCAAGCCTAGCAGAGGCAGAAGAAAAAGAATGTCAAGGAGTGTGATGTCAAAAAAAATTTAATAAAAAAGAAAGAGAGAGATGGGAAGGAAAACAAAAGGATAATCTTTTGAGTGAATGCTCTTTTGAACTTGTTCTGAACTGATCGAACTACAGGAATGGATCCTCATGATGGGAAATGTAGGTACATTCTGTCATTGTGCCGTCAAAACTGATGTGTGCAAAGATATCAACTTGTTAGTATCTGGAGGGAACACACCCAGCTTCTTCAACACCAGAAATGGAAGGGTATGAAAGAACACCAGAGGGGTTTTAGCTAATTAAAAAATATATTTTTATGCTGCGTGGTATAACCATAAGAAAAAAAATAAACCCTTCATACAAAAGACCACAAACACAAAAGACCTCCACATGAAGCAGCCTGTGGGAACACTACATAAAACAACAGTAAAGCTGAAAATGTGGCACATTTTGAAAGTGAGCAGCTCCCTTCTGCCATCAGTCATTTCCTGGCTTACCAAGGCATCAATCCATAAAATCTGGGCATGACCAACATGTGTTTCAAGCAGCTTGTCAAACCTGGTTGTCTGAAGTGAATCTGTCACCAACAGACAGCAAAATGTTTTCTATGATAATTACATTCTGCTAAGCTAAATCACCGTTAATACACATATCCACTTGTCAACATTCAAACCCTTGAAGACAGGATGACAAAGATAAATTTGCCACAGTTCCTCTTTTATTTATTGGCTGATTTGTGCAGAAGAAAAAAAACATTCTCATGAGATAATCAAGTATCATTTAGATAAAAAAAGAGGGCATACAACTTTACAGGACATTTTCTAAGATGAACTTCTCCTAGGATGCTGATAAAACTTCATTCAAAATGATTACCATCTGATTTCTTACTTTGGGGAATGTACTGTATTGATTGTAGAGAGAGAGCTTCTGGGAACATACTATTGTAAACTAGATTAAATCGCATAATCTTGATATGCATTTGTATGTATTTTCAGGGATGTATCCAATTTAAAATCATTTAAAGTGACAAAAACTTTATAAATATGCATTTAAAATCTAATTCTACAAACAAATAATGGCCTAATTAAACTATTTTAGATGTACACCATAAGATTAGGGGGAATTGCTTGCTAAATGAAATGCAGGGTCTCCTTATTATACAGATTGACATTTCAGCACATTCAAAGTTGCAAATCAAGCACATCCCAGATTTGCAATTTAGGTTTTCTCTGAATAAACTGAAGAGACATAATACGACTGGAATACATATTCTATTTGTTTCTAATAAGTCGAGACCTGCACAGATTACTCTTGTTTTTGAAGGACTTGGATACTATATTATGGAATAAAAATTGAGTTGATGAAAATATCCGACTTCCACATTAAAGCCAAACTCTAAAGTGCCAATTATGTATGACCTGATTCCTCAAAGTTTTGTTCCTGATATATTTCTGCCTTTTTTCTACATACATTCACAGGACATCCTTGTCAAACATTATGAACAATCGATCAATTCTAATGAGTGGGCAGCCTTGTTATTATTGTAGAAACAGCAATATAAATCAATGAACTGTACATTTTGGCTAAAAAAACTGCTGATCCTCACACATGGTTGAGGCTATATAGGTCAAAGACTACCAGAGCTGGGAGCAAAATGGGATAAATCTCCTGCTACTGCCGAGATGAAATATACATGACTGTCATTTCTGCTTAGATATGAGCAAGTCATTTTATCCCTGCAGCAAGCGACTCATATCTAATTAACACCCTTACATCCACAAACACCCACGGAGAAACATAAATCCAACGATAAACAAACACCAGCGATGCAGTGCACCCTTTCAGTCCAGCCATATCTTTCTTGAGGAAGCACGGCACACAGCACTGCTGAGTGTCATGCCAGAGTTTTCAAAGCCACTCAGACCTCCCTCCTTCGCAGGAGAAAAAAAGGGAGCTTCAAAGTGTGGCAGAGAAAATGAAAGGGGACACTTTTTATTAGGCCCTGGTTTGAAACTTACCGGTGGTCTGCGAGCACTCTGAACCAGCCATGGCTCCATGATATGCTGAATCACGAAGTAGCAGAGCAGGACAGATTAAAGAAAGGAGGGGAGTTAAAAAATAGAGAGAGACATCAGGAAGAACATTGTAAAAATGAAGGAGAAGGTAGCAAAATAGGGAGGCAAATCAAACTGGGCAGTGCCACATTTACAGAAAACACAGAATATTCTCTGGAACTGAGGATTTAAAAAAGTAAATAAATAAAACAGATATTTAAAATATACCCAAAGAATACACACCTTGAGTAGTTGAATAAGATTTTCACAATGCTGTAAAAAAGTAGTTCCCTATTACAGATGATTTCTATTTTAGCCTTTTTGTTGAACCTAAATATTTCGGATTCTGCATAAAATGATATCAATGTTCATAAATCAGACAAAAATAAAATAAGTAAATACAAAAATATTTTTTTCAAATGAAGATTTCATCCCTTTAAAGAAAAACACCAGCCAAACTACCCTGGTCATTTGCTTAAAATATAATTGCCCTCCTTGTTGTTTTGGGAGAAAGTGTTAAATTGCACTGCATTATTATATATCAGTCTGGAAAATGATATAAGGCACCTTTGAAGTATTTGGGACACTAGAAAAATAGTGAGAACCATTTTTCCCCACACATAAAATAGGAGTGAAGCTTTTCATGAATTTCTAGCCAATCAAAATTACTCTGACAGCATAAATGTTTCATCCAGGAAGTCCTAAAATAACCAAGAACAACAGCTAAAGCACAGCAAATCTCACTTAGGCCTTATTCATTCCAGTTTTATGGCTTCATGAATCAGAAGTACTGAATAAGATCTGATACACGACTAACCTACACGTGAAAGGAGCCTAGTTTCCTAGGATACCAAAAGCAGGTGGAGGGCCTGATTAAGGCTAAATTGTGTTCACCTGTGATTAGCTGACCATAACGGCAACAACAAGACCTCAATTTTCATGCTTGTTTTTGTACCACTGCAACTGTTACTGTACAACAAAAAATTACACAGATACATGGTATGACCAAGTGTGGCAAGTGGATCTATATAAACATCGTCCACCATAAACTTACGGTGAGAAGCTAACTAACTCGGTATTGGTCAATGGAAATATGCGGTTTAAGATTAATTGTAATATTTTAATGTATGTTTAGTGTGGAGAACTGGAAAATTTGTTGCGAGAAACGCACTGACTGGGCTGCAGGCTGTTTGCGGACTTCATAGGAATCTATGTGACACAACTCCACGGTTCTGCCACTGGTGAGTAAATACCTTTTTTTTTGTTTTTGTTTGGCCCATGCTGTTGCTTTGAGTGAAAGCGGTTGTTTATTGGTGGCAGGACCCGTTGGTTCGTCGTCGTCATTTTGACTTTAGTGCATTTTGAATTCTTGAGATGCTTTTCATAATCGTGCACTGGTTTTGACCACTTGTTTCGTTCGAACTAGTTTCCTATTATTTCACAATAATTATAGTAAGGAAGTCTAGCCTGCTGTTTTTGTTTGTTTTTTCTTGGGAGGTGGAA